ATTCCATCCACCACCGGTCGAGTCGTGTTTGGAAAATGCAAAAAGGGGCGGAAGCTGGAAAGTGGAGAGGATTGTTTCTTGTAGTGGGGGTGTCTATATCTACCTAGCCAGCTTTTATATATATGTATATATATATTCATTCCTGCCTTTTCCTTTTGTCCCCACTCCCAGGGGTGTCGATGGTTCAGTGGTTGGGTGATTTACTTGGCAAATCTAATGTAAGCACTGAAAAAGAGGGTTTCGTTAAGCTCTTTCATTAAGCTCTTTATAAACGCCGAGAGGGTTTTTTTTTTTTTTTTTTTTTTTGGTTTTTGACCATTCCCGAGATACTGGCCCGCCTGTGATGTGAGGTATGGAAATCATCTTCTGGAACAGGGATGATAAGGGTAGTATCCTAGGCTAGGCCAGGAGTAGGATGTCTGCCTCTTTCATTCCACACAACGCAATCCATTGTTGAGGCTTGACGCTTATGCTTGTAATTATGTGGGATGACTGTTGTTCACCTTATTGATTATTACTCTCTCTATCCATAGCTCGTGATGATTGATTGTTAGAAAAAGAACCAGCTGATACCATCGCAATTGCTGGCCCCTCCACTCTCTCTTTCTGAGTCTCAAATTTCCTCAGCCTGAGTAATTTAACTAACTAATCAGCACATTCTTGTACCACGTGGTTTTCCTGCATTTAGGGACCGACCGACTTGCAATTTTGTGACTTGAAAGAAAAAAAAAAAAGGTGGTAGGGAGGGAGTTTAAGAGGGGAAAGCAATCAGCAGCGGCTCCTACTTCCCCTCTGCTCGCGGGCTCCAATTTTGCTTTTGACCTCTACGGCAATGGGGCGCTCCCTGGCCCCATCCTCCTCAGCTCTCACTCCCTTCAGTTACATAAAAGCTCATCCTGTGGATTCAGAAATGAAGCCCCTGCGAAATCATCTGCCGTTAACCATATGCAGGGGGAAAATAATTACTCAGATCTCCAGCCAGGAGCTGCAGTAGCAATGGACGGCAAATTAATTATCAGGGCTTCTTGCTTGCTGTCTTGGTACATTTATATCTCGGCAGGTCTCTTGATAAAAGTAGAATTTCGTCATGGGAAAGACAAGCTCAAAACCTGGAGTGGAGTCTCCAAGAAGCCAATTATTATCGCTGGGGGCACTTCGTCATCCCAGAAGGGTAGGATGATGGCCTGGCAAAGGGCACATGCCATTGCCCCATCTACCATAGCATCATGATCTGAACGTTAATCAAAGAGGTACACATTATACATTATTAATTTCGTCCAGGAAGTGTTATAATTTTGAGTGAACTTTTTTTCTTTTCTGCAGAAAATGCATTGAAGTTGTCCAATCCATGCCGTGGCCTAATGTCGTCGGCCTAATTGTTGTCCCCTGATTGGGACCTTTCGCCAGATGGTAATTTTGACTAGGCTGGTGGAGTTCCATTATTAGCCATATATGCGACCCACCAAAAAAAGAGCAACCAGAGGGAAATGGTCCTCGATGCTATCACAAACGAGTAATCAGCAATGCTGGATGAATTGAGACTTCGTATGTTGATCCTAGCCCAGTCCTCCAGTTCTAGTGGCTTTTTTAGTTCATTCGATGCCTACTGCTACTTGAGAGAAGAGTCTCGTTTCTGGACAATTCACTAACACGTGATCAATGATTCTCCCCACCATGTTGTCAACTTCTTTGATTCCACAAAACTTTCGACTGTCTCTAGGGTTTTTTTTTTTTTTTTTTTTTTTTAATCTACTCTACTCCAACTTTAACCTAATCTAGAGAGATGCCCAACTAGACTTACAGGGGAGCCGATGGGGACTGCACCACCATCGAATCAAACGGTGCATTTTGCACCCATATGAATTTGAGAAAATCACATATAGTGGTAAATGATGGGAGGCAATGTTTGAACCCTTAACTTCCCACCCACCAAGACTTAAAATCTATTTCTTATTGCAAGCTCTCATGTTTGGACAGAGTATTATTTGAAATAATTACTGTAACACTTTTTATGATGTGATGTATGTGAGATAAAAAAATAGTTTAAAATATAAAAAATGCGGATTGAAATTTGTGTTTATGATGCAAGCAAAAAATTATGTGCAATAATTCACCTATCCAAATAATTATGTGAAATTATTATGTTTATTACTAAGATTTTACCTTGAGACTTTACTTAGCAATGAACATTATTTGAAATAATTACTATAACACTTTTTACGATGTAATGCATGTGAGATTAAAAAAATGATCAAAAAGATAAAACGACGTATTGGAATATGTGTTTGTGATGCAAGTAAATAATTTTTGGGCAAATAGTTGCTATCCAAACACATCAAATTAATTAATTTTAGAACTTGAAATGTTTATAATACTTCGTATGTTTATAACACATCAAATTATAATACTTAGGTAACCTTAAGATTTTAGAACTGTATCAATTTACGTCAGAAGAGTCATTGTGGTCTTAAAGAAGGAAGATGGGGTTAGTTGAAAAAGATTATCTGAGTAACACAAGCAAGAAATAGCGGTTGTTATAATGGTAAAAAGATCATTCAAAATGCCAAAAGAAAAAAAAAAAACAAAGTTAGGTGTAAAATTATGGGGTTAATTACATTTGTTCTTGACAGATACACAGCTGTAATTAGTCAACAACAAACATTTGACCGGTTATTCGTTAATGAGGTCAACAAATTAACACCAAATGTCCGAAAATGCTCATTAATCCTATCCTCACACACCCTTTTGTTCCCCACCTTTTTATTCGTTCTCATTTCCCATCTTACGTTGACTTGCAGCCCTACAATGATGGTGATTACCACTAACCAGTTACCAACAAAGATATAATTATGATAGGTATGTTGTTTTGAGAAAAAATATATATATACATGGTTTTTTTCTGTATCAACATTCTTTGCTTTTTTGGTACTACATTTTGTCTTTCATTTTCCTTCCTTTTTACTTCCAGCTTTCTTTTCGGTCTTTCCAAATCAAACTTGGCTCGTAATCCAGCATTTGGATGAAGGGTAATTTTGTCGTTCTGCGGACTCTAACTGTAAAATGCAAATGACATTAACGGCATGGGGGTGAATATAATTTTGCCCAACCTCAAGAGCTGATTGGTAATTTGATTAAACATCAAGGAAGGTAGATGTAAGTATCAGAAGTAATGATAATAATGTGAACACTTAGAGCCCAAATTCAACCTAACAGCCCAATCATAAACCCCTCCTCAAATAGGGTTGTGGGCTTGTGGCTCTACCAAAGTGCAAAAATTTGTCGTGCTCATATAAGTGCCCATATGCATTTCCAAGTCCATGCATCGAGACAGTTGGGCCCCTCCTATTTCGTCCAAGATATAATGGACTTCTTTTTTATTTTTTATTTTTTTCAGTACTCGTTATGTTGCAGGGAAAAGGCAAGGCGATTATAATTGAGTTATCCCAAAGCAGAAGATGATAAGTTGTCTATTATATAAGTATTATAATGCTTGCTTAAAAACCCTTTTTTGTTCTTCCCAAGTATATATGTGCCAGTTTCTACCTTTTTATGTTTAACATATTATTATTGTTATGCGGAGGAGGAGAGATTAGGGAAATGGGGATATGGTGCGAGTGGGAACTGTCCTTCAATGGGATGAAAGACTCCATCATCATCAATGATCATACCCTAGGTTTATAGGGTACATGCAATTCATGGTTTAGATTGAGTATTTCACTTTTGGTTTTTTTGGGGACCAAATTTTGTTATCCACAAACACTGAAAAAGTTGATTGAGGAGGACAGTTAATTTTGACATTAATAAATGGCTTTGTTTTTTTTTTTTTTTTTTTGAAAAAAAAAATATGTATATATGACATTTGAAAGACCTCAGAATTTCCTCGGAATTCATATGCATGAAAATGGCCAAGAAGTGATGATCAGGAAATCACACCATAATAAGATGGGACGGAAAAGACAGCACAAGGCCTCTGCTGAATGAATTAGCGTAATGGGAACGTCCACTTCTTCTTGTCCAAGATCCCTTCAACAAGTCTGTAGTCAAAGCACTTTTCCAATGAGACGCAGCTTATTATTGGCTTATTAGTCATACAGGTAAATGCTGCTACGTCGAGCTTTTGTCAATCGAAGTTTAAGCCATGATCAAAAGTCGGCTTATCTTGATGTTGCCCTAACTTAATTATAAACGAATTTTATTTTATGGACACACAGGATGATGTTGATGTTGATGTTGATGCTGATGCTGATGCTGATGCTGATGCTGATGTTATTCCACTTTGATGTCTCACGACGTGGACGGGAACTGCTTCTGCTCCAGAAGTTTCTCATTTTGATGCTGAAAATTTCTGATGGAGTCAGGTCGTTCTTTGCCACCGGCCTATACAACCCTCTGAGGTGATGCAGTCCATATATTTCTAGAGTGGTTTTTGTGTTAGTTGATGGATCCAGTCTTGGCCGAACTTCTTCGCTAATTTTTTTCCGGATTTGAGAATTTTTCAGCAAGAGGTCTTAGCATCGACTGTAGAACTTAAATATCAGAAGTGGGGAAATAAATTCAACCACACGCACTCAGATACATAATTAAGAAGAGGCCAATTTATACAAATAGATAGAAAAAAGTTCCACTCTTCTGTAGCTTTACTCTCCTTGATACAGTTCGAATTCGTGGCCTGTCGGTTCAGCTTCTTTAATTACCTACCTTCCGCCATTTAATTAAGTTGCGATTCATTATCATAGTTGACATAACTTGATAAACAAGAAACAAACAGTACCAGATATTGCCTAATATAAGATTCAAACTATTAAATAGGAAAACTACCTAAAAATGCTAAATAATAATATAAATTTTTTTTTTTTTAAGAATTATTAGGCCTTAGTAGTGTAATATGCCAGCATCAATTAGTTTCATTTAAATCTTCAAATATCAAGACTGCTCAAACCTCAAAGTTTTCATTGCGTTTTGCCCGCCAAGAGTAGTGCTAACTTTAACACAACACATGATTGCCTGAATTACCCCTGATTTCGATTTCTGATGACAACAAACAAATTATGCAAGAAATAAAGCTACAGAGACTGCTACATATGGCAGTTCATCCACGAAAACACATGAGAATTTTGGTGACCGGAGCTAATGGACGAAGGATGGATATCGGCTACTTGAAATCCAAAGCGTTGCGTTCCCATTCCTTTTTCTTCTTTATTGGCTCGTGCAATTTTTATGGTTCTTTTTGTTCTCTTTGCCTGCACATATCACCATCAGAAACGCTGGGGGTTACTACCCTGCCCTTCGTGATAAATTATTTTAAATGAATGATAAACCAATAGACTTTAATTAGTATGGCGTTTTGTTGTATTAAAATTGCACGAACTATATAAGAATCTTTAAGTCCTTACATATTTTGTAGCATGGCTGCACAAATGCTGGATCATTGATTACCAATGGAGGTTCCTGGCCGAATATCATGTCACAGCTCATATCATCAAAGTCTGCGAATTCAAAAAGCTGTATCAATCAACTGAGGAAAAGCCATGGCATATATAACCAAGAAATTCCCGTGTCTATCCATCCGATTGTTCTCTGACATCTGGATACCAATGGATTACCAGATGGAAGCTCTTTTTTGTGCTCTCCAATAGGAGTTCTGCTATAATAATAATAGATTATGCCATCATTTGTCATGACTACATGCATGGTAGAGGTAATAGAATGATTATAGGATTTTGACGGATGAGTGAATTGCTTTTAATGTTTAACTCAGAAGACCAGAGATGGGATGTTTTATACCCAGCCAGTAGAAAGAGCATCAGGTAACAGCATCTGGTCTCTTTTTCCTTCCTCAATTCCTTCCTCCCTGGCCAGGTGTACTTACATTGCAATTTACTATTTTCAACTGCTCTATGATGGAAATATTTCCTGTGCTGCACCTTAAGTGGCTGATAGATGGGGCCCTCCATGGTTGCTTTGCAAGGGCTTCATGATCTAGTGCAAGTACTGTTGCTCCGTCAACATGATCTTACTTTCTTTTTGCGTCCTTCACTCAACTACTCATGTACATTGATAGTAGGGATAATAGCAGAAACCACCCCTGAAGTTCCTAACAGTTGCAATCACCTCTCCTTATGTTTGAAAAATACAATTAACCTCCTCTAGCATGAATTTGGAGTCTATAGTTGACATAAGATAGGATGAATTTACTTCTATACCCTAAGAGTTTAAGGTTGTTAGTAAACAAATTTGGAGCAAAAAAAAAAATTAGAACAATAAACAAGTCTAAAATAATTAATTAAATAACATTAATGGTTATTTTTTCCTTTATTAGACACTGTAAGTTCACTTACAAAATGGCGCCATTTTGATACTCTAACATGGTGTTATTTTGTGATTAACAACACTTAAGAGGACAATACAAATTATATATTTTCTACATAAAAGAGAAGCAGAAGCAAGAAAAATGTAAGAGAAAGAAACCTCTAAACAAAGCTTCATAAAAAGAATAAGTTTTGGTGGTTTTGATTGAGATTATTTCATGAAAATCATAAACAAAATCTAAGGATTTTTCTATTAAAAATCTACAGCAATCAAAAAATGATAGATAAGCAATCCTTTATCATCTCAACTTAATACACAAAGTTGTGGTGGTAGTTATAGTATAATGAAATTGTTGCGTCAATCATGAGAGAACATAACTATCTATGAAATATGGTAAATAGTGTGAGATGAATATATTATAAAGTATGACAATAAAAATCTCTCTTGTACTAATCAAAGGTGAATTTTCTTGCATAATCAACAGACTCTTTATATGCTTTAGAACCTCAGATTTCTGAACATATGTTTGTTGTTTCTTCTAGATTTTACTACTGTCCTTGTTCTCTTTTGCACTAATTGTTTCCATCTCTTAATGTTTTTCAATGTTTTACTAATACAACCTCACAAGAGGCAAAAAAGATACAAATGAAACAAAATTATTATTTCACTTCTCAAAAGACTTTTTTTAATGGCACTTTCTCTAATATGGGTTGAAGTTGCTATCAAAATCTTAAGTTCAGCGAAGGTTAGTGCTATTTTTCAAATCTCAAGAGAGATGTGCAACTGTCAGAAACCTCAAGGGAGATTTCTGCAATTATCCCTTGATAGTATAATTGTCTGGAAACTAGTGCTTGTACCATTGTTTGTGTTATAGGGAGTTAATAGGTGTGATTCAACACTTCTGTTTAGTAGCCTAGGGGCATGAGAAAACTCTATTTTTTTTTTCCTTGCACTATTAACTCTTTAGGCCACATAGTGATCAGGTGTATGAGAATACGGACCAGTAGATTAAGTTCTGAATTTTTGAAGCATTTGGAGTTACGGTCCAGCTGAATACTTACTGGGAACCATGTTGAGTGGCATGCCAAGTGAGTCTTTAATGAACTCTTGCGATGACATTTTGCAAAGATTGGTGCACATTCCTACACAGTTAGTCCCCTCTAAGAACCTGAAAGGTATTGAGGAGAATATCAGAGGTTGAAGCTTGTAGCTATAGCTAGAACGACGCATAATTCGTAAACAAGGACATGAGACATTACCATGATTTAGATAAACATCATTAAAATTGAGGGCACTGAGTTAAGTGGGGGAACAAACAAACAAACTTGGAGCACAATGACTGGAGTAGATTGTCGTAGTTTTTATGAGGAACTCATTTCATGTTTGGTCACTTAGGTTGTAATGACTGGATATTTTATTCAAAGGAGAAGAACGAAAAGATACCTGCATTTCCTTATGTGGACGACATTCTTCTCTTTTGTGCCGTCAAATTCTGACTCCCTCACCTTGTTTGCCAAAAGAAATCATATATTATTTTGCTTGCCAATAATTGTACATGCAAATTCTGATTTTGTGGCCGTATTTGTTGCTCCAGTTTTGATGTTCAAATTCCAAAGGGGTTGTCCTCTATTCTTTTGCCAGAAAGATGTATCTTATTATATGTGTGGCTTTGGTTCATGCATAGTTTTTATTCCAAAATGCAATGAATATTGCAATAAGAGTAACTTACCTCGCAGGGTCCAACTAACCAAGCAAAGAAAATAGTTGTGAAGACTGCAAAAAATTCTCTTGCAAATTTGGATTGCGGCAGAAGGGCCCTTATCTGCACTGTTTAACATCATTCATCTACCACGTTACAACCCTTGTCTAGTGAACCATAAGCGCAATTTGTAAGGCAAAAACAAACAATTAATTTGTCAATGATGTTCTGCTTTTATATTGTTGAGCATTTTACCTTTCTGCCCAGTTTATTTCAGCCCGTGGCCTAATCTTTACCATTGCATCAGATTTCTGGCCAGCTTGCTAACTTTTCTTTTCTTTCTTTCTTTCTTTATGATTTTAGTATATATTGTAAAATTCTTCGAACTCAATTTACAGGCCCAAGCAACAGGAGAAAAGTGGGGAGCACAAAATAATGGATAGGCATTTTTCCTCAACCCCCCCCTCCCCCCAAAAAACAAAACCATTGCCAACATGCCATCAACCGACATCATCACACACATTGCCAGAGACAGGCGTTTTAATTTCAATCAACATGATTCCCCAAACGAGGAACCCTAATTGGTTTTAGAATTTAAAGCTTTTACTTTGCATGATGCGCATCGCTAAGGAAACAACCGGCCGCTTATTCATCTACTCCATGTTGTATTGCAAATCAATTCTCATAGTTTAGCACGACTCTCTTGAGTTATGAGCCAAACAGTTTGATTGGTTTTTGTTACTAATTATGTATTTTTCATTCTTGAGATGATTTTTTTTTTTTTCTGCCTTGACTAGTTAAGGAGTGAAAACCTTGTGAAAACTTGCATACCATGATAAAGTCGGGAAACTTGAATATCTTAACGAGGCTTTTGACAAACAAAGTTCAGTAAGGTAATTCTTATCTGGTGTTTCGTCCAAGTTGACGAGTACTGGTGCTAGTTTTTCGGAGACAAAAACCAAAGAACACAGATCATCACATCTAAGCAACAATGCCAAATTTGGCTGATCCCTGTGGGAGCTTCTCCGTCATGCATCAGCCCGAGTAATTAGTTGGGCTGGAGAAGTTGTAAAGACAAATACTAAGAAAGGGTAACTAGAGGATTTAATGGGGAATAAATGAACTTGCCGCAGAGAGAATAGGGCGGGGGAAGGCCTTTTCAAGAGTTTGAATAATAAGATCTTGTTGTTGGCTTGAATTAAACTTCCGATAAGCCACTCCTGCTGCCTCCACCAGCCCATCATATCCACTCTTGCTACTTCGCAATCCTGAAGATCATCAGTGCATATTGGTGAGAAAATTTTGATCCAACCTTTGAAGTCGTCAGCACTTACAATATGTAGTTAATTAAACAGCAGGACCAATCCGCAACAGTTTTCTGTTTTGAACCTGTTGTTTCTTGCAACCTCTGGGACAGGTGATTAATGGCAGCACGGTCGAACCAGTTATCCTTGTAGACGGTCCTGGAAGCCATCGTGCCTGACAGTTCCACGGACTTGTCCGGTGACCTGCTCAGCACAGCAACAACGTAGGGAGAGGGAGAATGATCGGACCTGTGCTTGCGCCGCGGGTGGCATAGAGGCGACAAGTGGCAATAGTGCTGTACAACAACTGACAACTTTGCGTCCATATTCGAGAGGAGATAGATAGATAGTGGAAGGGATGAAGGAAAAATAATGGAGCTTTTGATTATGAAGGAAAGTTCGATGGTAATCACTGGATTATTTATTATTGATAATATAAGAGGTGACAATAGAACAACAAAGAGCATATAACCAAGCCTCTGTCTTTTGATACCCCAAAACTTTCTGGAATCTGTCGCTTAGTTTGCTTGCATCATGATCATGCATGTTTAGTCCCCGACCAAAAAAATATTTAGGATGCCCCAAACGAAGCTTTTCTTAGAGTTAGTTGCAGCTAAATAATTAATAACGTCGTCTACCAATAAGAAACACATTTTTACTCGAGGTAAAATATACATATATATATTATATTAATAAGGGGTGGTAATTAAATGGATAGGATTTAGACACTAATTCACTAACTAGGGTTAGCTTTGATGTTCACTGCACCATGCAATCTACCTTCTGCTCTTAAACACTCCAATCTTTCCGGATTTGGGTGAACTTTAGTGAACAAGTCTCGCCAGGGTGACCCAGACCCAAATCATGAATCGGCAGAATCTGGAACTACAACTGTTGGATTTGGCAGCGGCTGGCTGGGAACGAGTTTATATTAGGCCCGCCCAAGTACTCCCTCAGTATTTTATTCTGGTATAGATGCTGACAAATGGACATCGTATCCGTTTCTTCGCTTGCTTTACTCTTTTGTTATTGTTATAGGTTACTGTTCCTTGAAGCATAGCCAACTGGTGGGCTGCCTTCATTTGAACGTGTTATCCTTCCACAGCTGGATTATCAGCAGTATAGTAGTTCCTAATTCAGCGTCCTAACCTGCTGTCCTGTCACACATGAGATGAGATTGGTACCACTCGCCGGCTTTGGATTTTAGGTTTGTCGTCGACACAGCCGGGTGCGCTACCTCTCATAGACTAATAAATGAAATAATCCCTACCTATCGCCCCTTCTATTTGCCGGACTGCAGGCTCTACAGCAACCCGCCCCCACTGTAGTAAATGTTGGCCCAGGCACTACTGTAATAACAGTAGCGATTAGGGTGCGTTTGATAAAATTGAAATCTCAAATTTAAAATTTATTAAATTATTGAAATGTTAAGTATTAAATTTAATATATTTGAATGCATATCACAGATAGGTGAATAGTTTATCACTTAATTTTGAGAGCAAATTTTGTATAAAAAATTCAGTGATATTGAATCATCTATTAAATTTAAGCAGTGAACTAGATTATTAAACAGAGACTTACTCCTATTCGTATTCTAATCTACTTTAGGGGAGAAGTAATCCAATTGAGCTGGATTATTAAACGGAGATTTACTCCTATTCCTATTCTAGCTTACTCTAAGAAGGAAATGGCTCAACTAAACCGGATTATTAAACAGGGATTTACTCCCACTCTTACTCTAGCCAACTCTAGGGAGGAAAGTGGTCCAACTGAACCGAGAGAACCGACAAAAACTGAATCACCATCAGATCAGACAAATACAACACTAAATCACCATCAGATCAGACAAATGCAACACGCACCTCGTATGGATTTAAAAGAAGCCACATATATAATGACGCATTTTAAACGTTGGCCTCCCGCTCCATAATTCATGTGATGACCAATTCCTCTAAAAGAAGTTGATTGAATCGTGTAATTTTTATTCAAATGTACAATTCTATTCTCTCAAATCTCTCTTCCAAATCCATTTATAATAGTATAAATGATAAGAAGAGGATAGATCTATATGAAATATTTATTATTACTTTCTACATTTAGCAATTCGTTTTCAAATTTTACTTTCCTATCTTAATCCCAGCCTTCAACACAATTAGCTTGTGAGCGGAGGCAAAGTAAAATCGAACCGTGGTTGTCCAGTAAACTCAAACGAACAATGCCTGAGTTCACTGCATGCTCAAGCAGGATAATACACGCTCCTCTGGAAGGGGACGAACCCATCAAAACCCACGCCACCCTAGAAAAGGAAAAAAAAAACAAAAACAAAAACAAAAAAAGAAACCCTTCAACCGGCCAGCTCAGTGAAAACTGAAAAGGATTCGAAGAGAGGGTAGTGGAAAATGCAAGCCATGCATATTAGACAAATTTATAGTTCCATGCACAGATCAACACAGAAAACCTGGGGAGGAGGGACTAAGAATGATGATGGTGTCTCAACATAATCAAATCCCGCTAACTGCCTACACACACTACTACTACTATTTCCCATCAGAAACTCCTAAATTATGCTACGACTCACCATCATCCCACTAAAACAAGAGTTTCTACGCAAATTAGAGACAAACAGTCACAAAAATAGCTACTAGAACTAGGACGTTTCATTAGTGGACGAGATAGTGAGGAAGTAAAGGGACTTGAATCATTCCTTGGTGGTCTTGTTGATGAGGGATTTGTGGATGTGTGGGATGACACCACCGCCAGCAATGGTTCCCTTGATGAGGGTATCAAGCTCCTCATCCCCGCGAATGGCCAACTGCAGATGCCTGGGAGTAATTCTCTTCACTTTCAGATCTTTGCTCGCATTTCCAGCCAACTCAAGCACCTCTGCAGTAAGATATTCAAGGATTGCAGCAGAGTAAACAGCAGCTGTGGCGCCAACTCTTCCGTGAGCCGATGTCCTCGACTTCAGCTGGCGATGAATTCTACCCACAGGAAACTAAAATTGCCCAGCACCAAAAAAGAAACACAAATTACAGTTTCAAGAGATTAGATAAAGAAACATTTAAGGGTTATATTAAGCAGAGCAATGACACAATGACTACATATCTTGTTTTCCTCCACTCTATCCTTTTCAGAGAATAATCAGAAATGGCATGGAGAATTTTTACCCAATTGTCCAAAGACAGCTTAAATATGACCAAGACATCAAGAAAGAAAAAGAAGTTAGCAAAATTATGGAAGCAGTTCATGCTGCTGTTCGCATAGTGGAGGCCCACTGAAGAATTTGGGTACAAAAATTGCCCCCAGAGGAAGCACAACTATGGAAATGTATCTGAGTCATAGTCTCAAGTATAGCTCCAATATCCAGAAAATCTAGAACGCACGTATTGAGGGCCAAGTTCATGTGATTTAAGATTAAAAAAATGGTGGTATAATTGTTGAATGCAGCCTTAAACAGTTGATACTGACTTGTTCATCCCAAACACTAACTATACAAAGATACAGTCAACTAAAATGAGTCAGATTAACCGCAGATACCTCCCCTAATGAAATCACTTACTAATTTAAGTTTCAGATTCTGAATGCTTTTAACAATCTTGGGAACCCATATCTCAAAATACAGAGCAATAAATGCCGGGTCATATTATACTGGCAGTGGCAGATCGTTGGTTGCTCAGATCTACGCATAGACGAGACAGAGAGAGAGGAAATAGAAAATGGAGAGGCCCATGGGTGGGTTGGGTTAAAAAACAAAAACAGAAACAAAAAAAAAAAATCACCTGAAGACCGGCACGGGAAGAGCGGGAAACGGGCCTTTTCTTCTCCTTTTCCTTGCTGGCTGCTGCGGCTGCGGCAGCGGCTGCCGTAGTCTTTCCGGCCAAAAGCCCCTTCCCACCTTTTCCAGCCATTCTCCTTTTGACCACTAAACTTGTTCTGTAAATAAGATAAAACAGAAATTTTAACCAAAGAATTTGGAGAATAACTATGAATAAACGATCCACATCTCGTAAATATGTAGAGTACAGGAGAATGAGAGGGCGGAGCCTTACCTGAGGGAGGCAGCTTAGGAAGGACAATGAGAAGATCGGAAAGTGGAGATAGAAAGAAGTAGAGATAAGCGCGTGACTAGGATGGTTCTTTTAATGGGTTTGGGCTGTGTCTGGGCTTTCTTCTTCTTCTTTTTCTTTTTTTTTTTTTTTGAATATTGATTCTTCAGGGATTTGGCGGTTAGCTTCCGGTGGGAAAACAAATATTTTTGAGATTTCAAAACTTTCGTTGAACAAGCACTCCTGAGGACTCCAAAGTGGGTGGCAGTACTTCCTTTCCACCCTTTCTCTCTTTCTCTTTCTCCTGTTGTTTCTCACTCGACATGTATTTGATTGAGCCTCGGCTTACTATTACTCCGTCACGTCCCCAACTCCTCCTAATTGTCCACTTACAGATTTTCTTTTTTTATCCTTATTTAATACTCCAGTAGTAACTAATTGATGAATTGTAGCTCGGCCCAAAAAAAAAAAAAAGGGGCACTTTAGTTCAGAGCCAGTTTGTTGCTTTCACAAGATGGACCAGTGTGCTGTGCAGAACAAATGAAAGTGTGTTGATGTGCCCGGTTGGTTTCACCCACCCAACTTAGGCATTACTTACATGTGATTTTTTTTTTTTCAGTTTGTTTGGATTGGAGCCCAAGACCAATTGGACGGAAAGTCCAGTTTCGAGTTAACATGCTCTCAGTACAGAATCTCGTATAGGTCTTAATACTACTGATTGGAACGATATTTACTGCCAGTCGCATCGTATGGAAATTAAAATCTTTTGTATTTTTACATTCAGCCCAAGTCCGCCTGTAAATGTTTGCCCATATTGAGCCCAACCACCTGTTTTCCAAACGCGAGCCGCAAAACTTCTTTTTTTTTCAACTTAGAGGTATTTTAGCTTTTCAGTCAGAGTAATTCTCTAAAAGCGTGTAGAATTTTATTCCAATAATACAGGGCGAGATAGCATACAAGGATTAATCACAAGATTTACTGGTAACTATCAATTTACGAAACCAGTCGGATTGACCGCAGGAGCGGAGCCGCAAAACATTTGCTATTCCGAAAGGTATACAGAAGTTCAGTCCATCATCAAGCCACCCGAGACAGCTGTGAAAATCAAACATGCAGGTTATTGCTACTAGCATACTAGATTATTATAGGTTGTTTTCTATTAGTATTACTGTGCCCTTGGTTGGTTAAAAAGAAACCGCGTTGATAAATAACCCCGTGGAAGGCAGAATGGTTTGGGGCACGCGAATCTTGCATAGAAGGTGCTCGACAAGACAAGGCACCAATCCTCCACAATTCCTGAAGCAGGAAGGGAGACTACTTCTCAATTCGTGTAAAACGACAATAACTTTTTACATCTTTTTTATTGTATTTATTTTTTTCATTACATTTCTTTTAAGCGAAAAGGGCCGGATTCGAGAAAGAAGCATATAGGGAGGAAGAAATATTAGAACCCTTTCTAAGCATCTCAATTTTAGTCACTAAATTAAAGCTTCCTCAATTGAGTGTGTTTGGATAGAATATTATTTGAAATAATTACTATAACATTTTTTTTATGTGATATATGTCAGATAAAAAGATAAATTAAAAAATGTGTTTATGATTATATGAAATAATTCAACGATCCAAACAGACTCGTTGCTAAAATTTAATCACTACTATCACTAAATTATGGAAAAAAAAAAAGAATCATTAAACTAATGAAAAAGAGAATTCAAGCCATGAATTGCGTTTTACAGCTGCACGGTCTCATCAACCTTTTGGCAAAGTCACTACACCCCCCTGAAATTCATAACAACAATTGAGTGAAAAAAACTACTCTTAACACTGATGAGTCATTTCCAAAGAAAGGAAGGGGGAATCCCGGAAGAAACTTGGGGGAACAGAA